TTCAAAAGTGAAAATGTGGCACACATACAGTGTACCAAATAACTGCTGACACTCTGGGGAATATTGCTCATTTTGTTTTTTAGGTAAAAAGAGAACACCCCCCTAACTCTAACATTAACCCTCTCAGGCTCAAATTAAACTTTTTGTTGCTAACGCACAACCAAGTCCTGCAGTGGTACTTCTGAGTAAAAAAAACTCATAAAATATGTATGTGGGGTAATCAGGTTGTTAGTTTTTAACTGTTGCAAATCGGCAACGCCTGCCTCGAGAGGGTTAAGCTGCTGCCAGAGGCGAGTCTGCTTATGCTTTGCTAACAGGCTAAAACAGAGAGATAGAGCAGGCCTGATGACTTTTACATTAAGATATGATGAGATGAGGGTATTCAGGGTTAAAGTTAAAAACTGGACTTTGTTCGAAGTCTCTAAAAAAAAACAAAGGTGCCATTACGGGCAAAGAGAAATAATGGGTTACACTTTGTTACAGATTTGACTGTAGCACACACGGTTCAAACACAGCGTTAAACAAACACATGTGGGGTTTTTGGCTAAGAGTGCAGCTCAAATGTTTACATAATTTTCAATAACATTCTTTTGTGTTCTTAGCAGGTGTAGCTTGCACAATAGTGTACTCACCCTGTGGTAGCTCGATGTTGAAATACGTCCTTGCTGGCGTTAACAACAGATAACGTGGCATGTAGATTTTTTTTTTTTTTGAAATCCTATTTTCCTAGTTAGTTTTAATGTGTGAAATCCTACAAATCAAATTAATTTGCATTGAAAAGTGACTTTAACATTATATAAGTAATATTGTTAACATGTTAGCAGGCTTCACAGATCTGTGATTTCACTGTTTCTTTGCAATTCAGATACCTCTTTATGAGAACTCCCTTATAAATCAAACCCATATATGAAATATGAAAAAAATAAATTTAATTATTTAAATAGGCTGATTACTCCCTGAAACCTCTGCACACTGTGGGTTTAAGCAAATCATCAAAACAGGGTTAATTCTGCTTAATTAGAATGATAAATGAGGGATTAAATTAAGATAAACTGCAGTTTTATTAGTGCGTGACTTAGTACCTGCAGTGTTTTTTTTGTTTTTTTTTTTGTTTAGTTTAGTTTTTTAAATCCTACTGGCCAACAGGAGAGTTTCCATGGTGCAGAGTGGCCATGACACAGTCGTTTACCTCCAAACCATTTAATCACTCATTGAATCATTTCTAACCCGCACCGCCGTCATAACAGTGTGACGACCCAACGGTGAATGCCACCTTGTGTCTGCATGCGTTTCTATACCCGTGTGTGTCTGCATGCTTCACACTGCAGTGTGTGTTTGTAAAAAAAATAAATGAATAAAAAAAATTGTGCCTGCAGCTCTGTAGTAGTGAAGATTGCATCGGTGTGTCTTAACCAGATGAGTGTGTTGGTGGTGTGTGTGGAAAAAGGGAATGCACTCTTTTAAGTTTTAAGCTGGTTTCCGTTTCCTCACAGCGAATTCATCAGCGATACAGTCGGCCCTCATCCTGACTCAGCACTTCTTATCTCCATGGTCCCACATTCAACAGACACACAAAAACTGTGGGAAACACTTCACTTTCTGTCCCCTGAAATCCTGCTTATCTCTTATGTAAATATTTACATAGAATTTCCATTAATTTTCTGTGTGTACCTAATCTCTCAAGTCCCTAACCCACCCTTTCATC